GGGGGGGGGGGGATGATTTTATTAAACTAAAATGACACTGGAAAACGTCAATGTGAGTAAAGTAGGCACCAAAGTTTAAGGCAGTAGGCTACTAGTTTGTCCGTCACTCACTTTACCATGTTTAGTTATCAGTAGGGACCTATCTATTTAATTAGCACTACCGGGTACAAATCGAATACTTTTCTGTTCCTATTATCTTGCTTCTTTGTTTTCCTTAAACAAACAATAAAGGCCTACAAGCGTTCATTAATAGTCTCAGTAGCATAACGATGTGAATGGTGGTAAATCAGGAATATAAAACAGTATCATTTGTCAATTGAACTTGCTTCTTTTCATTACATTTCACTAAAAATTTGTCACAAACAGCTGCCTTAAAATTCTTTCCACCATGTCTTTGTATTTGCATGTCACTGGGTGTTTTTCCAAACAATAACTATATGTAGAAATGCTCACCTTATTTTCATGCATTCTAATACATTCGTTCCAATATGATCCCCAATATATTTATCCAATAAAATTTTACAGAACATTTTTGTTTTATCCAAAGTGTAATTGAATTATCTTTCATGTAGAATCCTAGATCTACAGTAATATTTAGCAGTGGAATCAAAGGTGCATCGATAAACAAAAAGAAAAAAACAGCAAAAAGACTGTTTATGTCTTAATACCTCATTGCGCAAAGTTTATTGTTATACGTTGAACCTGCTCTGCCTGTCCAGCCATTACTAGGCTTTTTGGGGAAATTTGTTTATTAGCGCAAGAAGTTGTAAAGAAGTTACAACTTCTTGATTAGCGGTACTGATGACACGAGGACGCGTGTTCTTGGAATTCTGCAGTCATACTATGCCAGTTGTGCAGGAATCTTTGCTGTGGTTTGACCAGTGTTTTTTTGTGGCGCCAAGGTGTCCACTTTAAATAAAAAGGGATACGAAAATGATAAAATTGCAAATTGATTGAGGGATAGATTATTATGCATAAATTTGACGATATCAAGGTTACAATTTATTCTCTCGATCAAAAAGGATGTCACACCTCCGATTTCATGTGTTTTCGTTAACATAAAAACCACAACGCCCAATGTTTTTTTGTTTTTTTTTTTTGTGTTCAATCGTAAAATTTTCCACTTTCTGCACCCGATACATTTTTCATTAAAAAAAATATTTGCCAAAATATAATGATTTTCTTAGAGTAGGTCCTTTACTGGGTCCCGAACCCCACGTCAAGGGGGGTGGGTGGTGAGGATCGGCTTCGCATCCGCGGACCCCTCCTTCAAACATGCTGGTATGATCAGGGTTGGGTTAAAGTTTTTCATTTTACAGCTAAGGGAGAGTATCGATGCGAAAAGGAAAAGTCACTGTCACAGCTAGCGTATAGTACTGGTGTATGAGAAAAATTGCCCATATGCAGTAAAACACAAGGGGTTCGTTTGACTTACGTTGTAGATGGCCTCAAGTATGCAGGTAAACGTTGGTGTAAGTTTGCATACAGGAAAGGAGATAAAGTATATAGAGCATATATCCAAAAGAACTTTGTACGCTGCTTGCATGTTCATTTTATTACACTGGAAACGATTTCATACGCAAAAAGTTGTGCGTATAATCGCTCTCACATAGGCTACGATACTTGTATAATAGGTCTCTTTACGTTAGGCGTGACAGAGTGAGATTTTGAACCAGGCTCAAACGCACGTGTTCGAGCAATAGATGCGCCTAAGGAAACTCCAGCACGGCAACGTATTGCCTGCGTACGTGATGTGCTGCACGCGCCGAGTGCCTCTTCCCCAGCTGACCTTGTGTTCTTGGTGCGGGCGGTGGCCGGTATACTGTACTCGGCCTGCATGCCCCCCCC